AGCTCTATCTCTGATATTGAGCGCTTTCTAATAAGTACCGCGCATATAATATATAAATCATTATACATACTTATATTTATTTATATTTATATACACTTTTCACACACACACACACACACACACACACACACACACACACACACACACACACACATATATATATATATATATATATATATATATAAATTAATTGATTTAAAATATGTTTTTCCGCTACACAGTTCTAACCATGTTTCAAAATGGAAGCTAAAGCTCGAATTTAATTTTGTAATTAAATTTAAGACATTAGGGTTCCATTTCATCCTCAAGCAATTTTGGAGTAACTTTTAAAATCACTGGGTTTTTTAAATACACAGCTAAAAAAAAAATTCATGTTTCCAAGGTTACAGATAAATCTATTTTTCTACACAGGGGTGGCTGGGTGTTCAATATGTCTATATTTTAATGTATCAGTTAGTGTTACTTTTGGTAGTGTGTACTACCAACTACCAAAAGTAACACTAACTGATACATTAAAATATAGACATATTAAAATATAGACATATTGAACACACTACCAAAAGTAACAATAACTGATACATTAAAATATAGACATATTAAAATATTTTAAAACATGGTTAGAACTGTGTAGCGGAAAAAACATATTTTAAATCAATTAATTTATAATATTAATGCTCTGTAAATTTACATCGAGCACTATTTTGTAAAAATAAAAATATCTATAAGAACACCGGATTATATATCTTACTGTTCTTTCTTTATATATATATATATGTGTGTGTGTGTGTGTGTGTGTGTGTGTGTGTGTGTGTGTGTGTGCTTCTGTGTAATAATATTGGGCCTTTGGGAATTATATAAAAACGATATGTGGATCCAATTCCTTGTTATCTGTAAAAGATGTGAATTGCCAAAAGGTAATTTTCATTCATATTTCTCACGTCTGGTGTAGATTTCTACAATGACACACCTTTTCTCTTTCTAACTCTATGGCGCCACACCTGTTTGTATCTTCCGAGATCCGAAAAAATTGTCTCTGGTTGAGAACTGAAGGCAACTCGTACTACAGAAAGCAAAGGTAAAACAACAGCAACAAAACAACAACAGCAACAACAACAACAACAATAATAATAATAACAATAATAATAATAATCTTGTATAAGGTTTTGCCGACTGAATATAAAACCCGGCAAGAGAGAGTTGGCCAATATGTGCACGGGAAAATCTACACCTTCTACGGGAAGGAAACTGAAAGAAATTGGCATGAACACCACCCAGACCCGGTTACGGAAATAGGACCTGTTACAATTTGATGGGACTACACAATACACACAGACAGAACAATCAAAGCTAACCACCCAGACATTGCTATTAGAGATCGCAAACAAAAAAAAAAGTGTCTCATTATTGATATGGCAGTCCCTGCAGACTGCAATGTATCTTTGAAAGTCTTCAAAAAGCTATCAAAATACAAGGACCTTGAAATCGAAATCTCAAAAATGTGGCACATGAGAAGATCAACAGTCCCTGTTGTAGTTGGAACACTCGGATTGGTTGGAAAAGATTCCAGTAAACGAATTTAAGGTATTCCTGGTAGCCCATCCCTTAAATACAAAAATTCTTCTTACGGGTACTGTACACACCTTAGAAAGGGCTTTATCTATGTAAAATATTTTTTTTGTTCTTTTTCCTCAGTGGAAAATGTCATTTCTGGCCTTGGCGGGACCCAGAAAGAAATGAGTACACACCAGAAATGAAAGGACATATAATAATAATAATAATAATAATAATAATAATAATAATAATAATAATAATAATAACAACAACAGAAAGTGTAATCAGGTTGGAAATTCACTTTTGTCTGAATTGGGTTCACAAACATGGCGATGCAAGATGGTGGCATGAGGATTTGCTTTTTATTACGCCTTAAGTGATAGTGGGTTTATTTTAGACAACATTTTGTGTCTTGTTGCGTGCGTATCTAAAATGCGTGTCTTTGTAATTTTATTCTTTCGTTCATTTTTGCCATTAAAAAAAACGAAAAATGTCTTAATCAATACCTTTTGTTATTTGAGTCTGATTTACTATCGATCTTTCTCGGCAGATGTTTCGCGGATAGGCTTTTCTGCGATCAATCCTCTTCGATCCGTTCGATCTTTGTCTGTCATAATACTATCATCGGCAATCGATTTAATCAGTCATTCTATCTGATAAAAATTAACCGCAATGAAAAAAGAAAACAGGAAAAAAAAACTGTTGATATACAATTATGAATAAAACTGACAACGAATCTTTGAAAGTAAGAAAAAAACCGAAATTGATTTTATATTTCAATCTCAACTCGGCTGATTTAAATTCACAACTTTTTAACGAAATAGTTAGAAATCTGCCATTAATTGATATAAATCCTTACTATTATTTTTTTTTCACTTATATATATTTAACAGTCTGTTAGTACCATGTGAGATGCGAATGCCCCACAGAATGCTTTTCCTGATTGTTGTTATATTATATGGAGTCAGGCCCAGGATAGCAAATTACTGGATAAGTGCCTCGTGGGCATGGGATTCTGACAGTGATGGATTACTTTTGTCAAATGGTACGAGGCCTGCAGAAGGCTGCAAGAATTTTGAAGAGTTGTCGTGTTTCTCGGACCCAGATTCCATAGGGTTTTTAGTCCACACGAGGTGAAATGCTAAGCTAATGAATGGACATGCGTTTCTCTGATAATCCTTCTCGTTTTACCGCCTACAATCGATGGTACTACGTCTGTCTTTGTCGTATAATAAAGCGAAAATTAAAAAGAAATTTTTTTTGTTTACAGTCTATGATATGGCAGTAGTGCCGTATGAACTGAAGCTAGTTGCTTTCTGAAAGTTTCTGCTAAGAAACTGCAAGGAGATTTTAGTTGTTGTGACGATAGCTGGGCGAATTGTAAGCAGTTTTATATTTACTCTCGAAATAAAAAGAAACTTTTTTTTGAATATTTGAACATTTGAAATTTATAAATTCATGTTTAATATTAATCTTTTAAATCAAATTTTCTGAATATAATCTTATTTTCTTGTTTTAAAGTTATCTTATAAAAGCCAGAAAGAACACTCAAATATATATATATATATATAAGATAACTGCTAAATGCTATATCGGTAGTATTAGAATGCTCTATCGGTAATATTCCCGTATCGATGACCCACAGAACTAATAGAAAAAGCTGAATTAGTTTTTAAAACAATGATAATACTTTTGAGCCCAAAGACTGTTGGTATTAACAGAATTCTAAATAATCCAGACATTATCCATAGATGCTATAATCTATCTTGATTTTGTGTTACGGATATTGCGTTAGGTCGTTCAGAACATAATGTCCGATTTTATTTCTGAATTAATTTATTTAAGGAATAAAGGTATCGACCATAGTCTGGATCATCGAATCAATGCAAACGATTCTTTCCATAGTTGCATATTAAGTGCTTCGCCAGGGCTACATACAATTTTAAATTCAGAGATTTCATTCTCTTAAACCAGTTGCCATCCAAAACTACAGAACCCAGTTTGTTAAGAAGTGGACCGTAGTCTGGATCATCGTGTCAATGTGAAACGATCATTTACATAGTTGCATAGTATGTGCTTCGCCAGGGCTACATACAGTTTTCAGCTCAGAGATGTCATTCTCCTGTTCCGCTTGCAGTTTGTGGTACTATTTTACCTATAGCTTGGGGAGAAGAGATAGAATCATACCTTTCGTAAGTGAATGTAATGAACTTGACTGGAATTCGAACCTCGCTCACTGATAACTCGATCCAAGCCACAACTGATGACTCCACCATGACTACCAGTGGAGAAAAATGTAAAAATGATGGCAAAATTAAATAAAAAATTAATTGTCTCTCATATTCAACGAAGCATGTTTAAAAGAAATGCTGCCGAAATTATATAAAAATTATATATATATATATATATATATATATATATATATATAAATATATATATATATATATATATATATATATATATATATATATAGTCATCTACAAATAGACTGTTTCGCTGCATCACAGCTCATTAGTGTAGCTAGATATGCGATTGCTTCAAGTGGATGAGTATATCTATCTATCTATCTATCTATCTATCTATCTATATATATATATATATATATATATAAAAAAAATATAATGTAGTGGTTCCAACGAGAGAAAAGTATGTATATTAAAAAAGAAGAGAAGAGGTGCCGCAAACGTTTTTGGTTGTAATGTGGATTTATTTAGAAAAAATATTATGCTTTGTTTTACATAATTTTACAACACGGGTTTCTGGTCTCGCGACCGTCTTCAGTTAAAAGCGGAGAATTCCACATATTATTAAAAATAATTAATTTTTTCCTTATGTTCAATGTTAAATATTCTCGATATGAGACATTCTCTGTTTGTGTGTTGGTAATCCGAATTTGAATTGCCTATCGGGTGGCGATTAAGAATAAAGTTGAAAATACGGACAATTTTATTTTGAAACACTGTACTTTGAGAAAAGTAGGTTTTTTTTTCATTTGTACATGAAGTATTAAAAGTTAGAGAGTTGTGTCCCTTTAATTGTTTTTATTACTAGAAGCCAAGATGGCGCAGTCAGAAAACAATCGACAATGAAAAATTGGGAATCCAAAATTTGAGAATTGCGGGTCCAGATCCGACCCGGAATGTTTTTAATTTGATCACGTAGTCGGCCTGATCCCCAAATGGTATGATATGATGGGCCGCGACCTCTAGGAGTAAAGACGAAAATGCGTGACAGAGTGACATTCGCATTTATTATATAAGTTGGGAAATATTCATATAATCATTTACAAAAAAAAAAAAACAACTCATAAACAGTAACAATGATGTAGAATAACTCAAGAACCGGCTGTGGGGCCTTGATGTAAATTAAACAGACAAATAAAATAAGAAATGATTTCATTGTGAGCTTGAGTAGACATTCGAGCGTGGGGCTTCTCAATATGAGGGGAGATGGCGTTAAAAGAGCTTCCCTTCTGTGACCGACGCCTGTACAATAAAAAAAAACAGACAGCTAACACATTTTTATCACGTGATTCTTGTATAAACATTTCAACTAAGATTGTTGTCAACATGCAATTCGGATTTGTCTAAATTTTCTTTGATCTAAAAGTCTCTGTTGAAACATTGTGGCCGACATTATGTAACTGGTGACGATCCTGAAAGAGACTGTTTTAAAAAGCAGGAATATATACAAGGCAATACGCGAGAGAAGTCGCAAGAGAGAATATTTTTAAGCTGCATAAGGTGGAATTATTCTAAGAGTCTTTTTTTTGTTAATATTAAAAGGCTTATCTGTATATCGCTTTTTGTAATAGAACGCGTTTCGACATAGTCGTGCACCACTGCAATGCTTTTGATAAACATGAGTAAAAAAATAATAAAACCGATCTTCTAGACGTATATATATATATATATATATATATATATATATATATATATATATATATATATATATATTGCTCGAACATTCAACCTAACGTAAACATTTTTCATAACTAGGTTACTTACCCCTGCAATATATATTTGCCGAATAACCTGATTAAAAAAAAAACAATCTGCTTATATTTGCTTATCTATATAGATTTCGGTGTTTAAACCCCACTTTTTTCTTGAATGTCTGAATGTCACAGCAATATATATATATATATAAAACTAATCCGGACCGAATTTGGTGAAAAATAACGAGAACTGGGCAAAGATGTCTTTGAAACACTGGCATCTAAGAGTGGCATTTACCTACGTAAGTAAACAAAAAGATTATTTTACAGATAAACACTCGTGGACGAAGCAGTAAATTGTATATAAATTTAAACAAGTAATACATACATATATACATATATACAACCTAGCTGTCAGGGTTTCAATTCTCGGTAGTGGATGCGCACTGCTGATGAGTCCCAAATATAGGACGAAACGGCCGTCCAGTGCTTTCTGCATTCTTGAGGTTTCTATCAGGCTCGATGAATTAATTAAATATATATATATATATATATATATAGTGGGTGGAAACAAATATGTGTACACATACAAATTTTTAATTTATTGTATACAAATTTTTAATTTATTGTATACTTTTCATATAATTAACTGTGCATAGATGCATAATCTCTATCTATAAAAGGCAGGATGTGTGTGTGTGTGTGTAACGATACAAATTTGCAAAATTTACATGCACATGCTTTAGCGGGAAGGCCAAAACCGACTTTGTACCGCCATTGATAAATTTTTTAATTTCTACGGCAGTTTTCATGTTGTTTGCGGCCATTTTGTACATGAGAGCCAATTAACCACAAGCATAGGCAGGAAGATTCTATTGGCCAGCGTGAGCCAACAGCTGACTATAAATGTTAACTAGGCTAGTTTTAAAATAATTTTCTCTCACAAGTGGGAAAAATTTAAATCTGCAACCCTTTTTCGAATATTTAATTCTGATTTGAAATTTGGGTGTGAAAAAAGTATTTTTGTTAACATTCTTTTTCATTCGGTTTTTCCATTACTTTTAAATCAAATTTTCCCAATATTTTGTTTATTCTTTTTCGTATTTGTTTTTTATACTTAGTTAAAATTCGCAGTGTGAGATAGACAAAAAAAAGAACACTGGGCACTCCTTTAAAGGCAATATATTTTAAGTCAAGAAAATTGAGTCGTAAGATTTTTGAATCAACGAAACGCCAGGCCATGCTGCTAGTAACTTAATATGGTAGAAAACTTAAAAACTTTTAAAATAAGTCCCATTCATCCATTTTAATGGGTGAAGAAAGTATTCATTAATAAAAAAAAAAATACTTAATGCTGTATCGATGTGTGCAATTGTCAATTTGCAAATTTTTTTTGTATTTTATAAAAAATCAATCTCAATTACTATATTTGTTAAACTATAGGGTGTGTTATATATACTAATCGATATATATATATATATGGACTAATCAATTTTGGTAGTTAAAAAAATTTTAAAATAATTATATCTGGGCACTAATAGTAATTGGAATTCATTCCGTTTATCAGGGTATATATATATTAAATATATATATTCTCATATTATATTATATATTTATTCTTTTTTTAATTTAATTCTTCTTTTCTTTAATCTTCTTCTTTTTTTTTACTCTTCTTTTTCTTTGTTTCCGTTCTTCGCCTTTTTGCAGAAAAGGTCTTTAGATAGGACTTTTTTATCTTTCTTCTTTTCATTTTTTTCTTCTTCTAATTTTTCAGACATGTTTTTTTCCGCCTTATTTTTATTGATTAAAATACAGGCATCAATTCCTTATAGTCCACACGAGAGGAAATGCTAAGCTAATGAATGGACATGCGTTTCCCTGAAAATACTTCTCGCTTTATCGCCTACAATCGATGGTACCACGTCTGTCTTTGTCGTATAATAAAAAATTAAAAGAAATTTTCTTTGTTTTCTATGATAGGTGGTGCTCATCAGGACGAAAGTTTCTGCTAAGAAACTCAAGGAGATTTTAGTTGTTGTGATAGTTGCTCAGTTTTATATTTTCTCTCGAATTAAATCCCCTTTTTGAATATTTAATCATTTGAAATTTAAAATTCATTTTAATATTAATCTTTTAAATTTTTCCCAATATAATCTTATTTTTCTCTTTTAACGTTATCCATTTAAAACAATATATAAGAAAATTGGTAAATGCTATATTGGTAGCATTAAAATGTTCTATAGTTAATAATGCTGTATCGATGTGTACATTGGTAACTATAAAAAATCAATCTCCAATTACTATAGTTAAACTATAGAATGGTTTACCGTACTAATCGAGTATTATGAATGGACTAATCGAATTTTGGTAGTTAAAAGAATTTAAGGGCACTAATCGAAAACGTATTTATCGAATGCGCATTAAATCGAAGGATTCTCGTATTTATTTCTTTTTCTTCTTTTTTCCTTCTTCTTTTTCTTTATCTTCTTCTTTTTCCTCTTCTTTTTTCTTTGTTTTGTTCTTCCTTTTTCTTCTTTTTCTTTTTCTTCTTTTTCTTTTTTTCTTCTTCTAATTTAGACAGTATTTTTTTATTTTTATTTCATAATATAGACTGTATAAATTGTATTATTTGCTATAAAATATTTTGTTTTATGAGAGGTCTCTCATCAGGACGTAGTCGGTCATGGCTCCGCCCAATTTCCTATCCCTTGATAACTCTTAGTAATGTTTGTATTTATAATATTCCTCTGACACGCTCTTCTGCCATCCATTTATCTAATTTCTTTTTGTAGGCTTCTTGCTGTTTAATCCTGCTCATCTTGCTTCCAAAAGGCCCTCTAAGCGTCATATGCTCCAGTCCGCATTTTTCATATCTCTCTCTCTCTCTCTCTCACTCTCCTCTCTCTCTCTCTCTCTCTCCTCTCTCTCCTCTCTCTCTCTCTCTCTCTCCTCTCTCTCTCTCTCTCTCTCTCCCCTCTCTCTCCCCTCTCCCTCTCTCACTCTCTCTCTCTCTCTCTCTCTCTGACTTTATTTGTAATTGTCATTTTATTTCCGTTTAGTTCAAATTTCTTTGTTGGTCGCATAATCCACGGTATTCCCCACGTCCTTATGCCAAACCTTATCTCTCTCCCCTAAAATATCCTCTTCAACCGCGCCTAAATCAAACTTTCACCAACCACATATCTGGAGTTAATCTCAATTACGTCTGGCCATGTCTAGTTTTAGCAACCGAGTTTCGTAATACTTTTTTTTTTATCATCGTCAGCTTTTTTCATCTGTGATATTAGTTGCTAGAACAGTTCTTTCTTTCTTTATTATTTTCTTTCTTTCTTTCTTTCTTTTCCGTTCTTAGCATCCTTATTTCACAATAACCCAATCGCTACTATTATCAACATCTTCGTTTTTCCGTCTTCCCCTATCAACAACTCCAAGACTATATTGCTACTAATCCATTTTTCTCTGTACCAGTGATCTAAACCCGATACTACCAACACCACCACTACCACCCCATTTTTCTGCCCTGTTCACCTTTCAACTCACACTATATCTACATTCCTTATCTACAACCACAACCAAAACTACACTCTTACCACCGTCTCTGTATATGTGCACCAGATCAACTAATTTCAACACTCGGTTTAAAACTATCTTAACACTTTCACTTTCGTTGCTACCCCTGACCCTTATAGCATTCGGCATTATCTACATTTGATGTTACTTCTTTTCTTTATCAGTTATCTTCATCATAGTCGTTCGTTTTCATTTGATTCCTTTTATTATTGTTTTTTCCTCTTTTCAGGGTTCAGAGTCTTGACCTTCTTCTTGTCTATTTTTTTTTAATATTCGTCTTTTCTTTCCACATCTTTTTGATCGTCGTGATTGTCGGCGAATCTTTACAGTAACACATTTTTCTAAATTTTACCCACTTTTACGATCTCCATTTTTTTTTAAACACTGTTTTTCTGTCTTGTAAAGATTACTTCTCTTTTCTGTAAGCATTCTTTTCTTCTTTGTTTCAAACATCGTATATCTTTGCTTCTTTGTTTCAAACATCGTATATCTTTGCTTCTTTGTTTCAAGCATCGTATATCTTTGCTTCTTTGTTTCAAGCGTTGTTTTAATTAAAGCAATCACAGTTTTTCTTTTAAGATTTGTATTTTTTCTTTTTATATCGTTCTGTCTTCTTTTGCTTTCATTTTTTTTATCTTTCTTCTAAGCGTCGTATTTACCTTTTTAAACATTTTTTTTTACCTGTTAAGCATTGGCAGATTTTCTTTGACCCTTTGCATTTTTCTTTCTCTTAAATTTCTTTCTCTCTTTCGTTTTCATTTCTTCTAACGATTATTCTTTCTGTAAGAGACGAATTTTTTTCAGCATTGTCTTTTCTGCTTTTTAAGCATTAACAGTCTTTCTTTTAACCTTCATAATTTTCTTTTTCTCTTTCTTTCTGCCTTTAAAGTATTGACATTTCTTTTACCTTTTGTGTTTTTCTTTCCTTCTTTCTTTCTTTTAGCGTTGTGTTCCTGCTATTTAATCATGTAGAGCTTTTCTTTTCCGTTTTGGATGTTCTTACTTTCTTTTTCTTTCTTTCTATCGCTCTTTCTTTCTATAAGACTCGTATTTCTTTCACCTGTATTTTTTTTCTTCTTTTTAAGTAGTAACGATCTTTCTTTTAACCTATATATTTTTCTTTTTCTTTTTCTTCCTTTTTTCTTTCTTTCTTACTTTCTTTCTTCCTTCCTTCTTTCTTTCTTTTTTCTTCCATTTTTCCTTCTTTCTTTGTCCTTTATTTTCTTTTTTTATTTCTACTTTCTCTTTTCTTTCTTTCTTTCTTTCTTTCTTTCTTTCTTTCTTTTTTTTCAGCGTTGTTTTTCGGCTTTTTAAGAATTTACAGCCTTTCATATCCGCTTTGTAATTTTCTTTATTTCTTTTTTCTTTCTTTTTCTTTCTCTTTTTCTTCTTTCTTCTCTTTTTCTTTTAGCGTTGTTTTTTCTGTTTTTTAAGCATTGGCTGTCTTTCTTTTCAGCTTTCTATTTTTTTGTTTCTTGCTCTTTCTTTCTTTTTCTTTCCTTCTTTCTTTATTTCTTTCTTTCTTTCGTTTCCCCGTTGTTTCTCTGCTTTTTAAATATCGACAACCTTTCTATGTATTTTTGTTTGTTTGTTTTTCTCTTTCTTCCTTTCTTTCTTTCTTTCTTTCATTCTTTTTCCTGTCTTCCATTTAAGCGTCATATATCTTTCTGTCGCGCAAGTTTTTTCTGCCCTTTTAACTTTGACAGTCTTTTTTTAAGCTTTTTATTTTTCTTTCATTTTTCTTTTAAATAGTAACTTATCATAGTAGCATTACCTGATTTCTACCTAGGACGTAATATCCACTGACTGATATAGACATAACCCTTCCCTTTTATTTTTTGCTAACAACTCCAAACTAGATCGCTACAAAGCATGGAGACTTGACAATTTTCGTAAAAAAATGTCCTCCCGAATTGGCCCCTGTACTCGCCAAACTAGACAACAGATGCCTTTGCTCTTTCTTGATTTCCAGCTTGTTGGAAATGCTCCTCTGGAGTTCATGTCTTTAAGAAATCAGCTGAAACTTTTATCCCTAGTCCTGTTACTCTTTTACGACATTTGGCAAAGTTCTAGAGGCACTAACCAACGTTGAAACAGTTAACAATTTCAGTATCTGTCTATATTTTTGAGATGAGGTATTGTGTACATTATTTAAATTATTCGGACTATTGTTCTCATCTTTGTCGCCATATTTATTACAACGTTTCGGCCTTTCAGTATCTGTCTATATTTCTGAGATGAGGTATTATGTACATTATTTACATTATTCGAACTACTCTTCTCATCTTTGTCGCCATATTTATTACAACGTTTCGGCCTTTCAGTATCTGTCTATATTTTTGAGATGAGGTATTTGAATTATTTGAATTATTCGGACTATTGTCTTCATCTTTGATGAGGTATTATGTACATTATTTAACAATAATTAACCGGAGATAACTGATAATTGACATCCATTAAATATGGCACGTGGAACTAGAACAGTCTACCCCAGTGAGCGAAATAAAGGGTGCAGTTCGACATTCCCACCACCTGAAGAAGGCCGGAGCGTACAAAAACCGAAACGTTGTAATAAATATGTCGACAAAGATGAGGACAATAGTCCGAATATTGTAAATAGTGTTGACAATTTACTTTTAACCTGGCTATCTTTCAGATTAACAATATGGCTTTCGTTTTTCTGTGTCAACAGCCGACGTGTTAACGGCTATTACTAAGATTTTTTTTCTTATATATATCAAATTTTAAATAAGAAAGGCGAGGCTCCGGCTGTGGCTTTAGATATCACGAAGTCGTTTACAACTCGAGGTATATCGCAGGAATCGGCAATCTGCGGCACGCGTGCCACATGTGGCACACCAAGCCTTTTCCAATGGCATGCGGCCGCAAATGACACAACGAAGTCCAAACTAATAACTACTACAATGCAAAGAAGATATTTAGCTCTTTCAATTTAAATATACGCTAAAGTGTATATATAGGGTGACCCCAAAATTGGGAACTTTTTAACAATCGAATAAAACCAAGAGTGATGGAAGAAAAATATTTTATTCATAATAATTGAAACCTACATGCCATTTAAGAAACAATAATGGAATTTTCATTTTTCAAAAATTACGTCCTGTAGATGGCGTCCTCCTGTACGAATGCATTCTTGAAATTTGCTGTTGAGATTCCTCATTGACTGCTGCAACATCGCAGCTGAGATACTGTGAATTTCATCTTGAATTCTAAATGGCGAAATGTTTACTTGCTTAAGGTCACTGTCTCGCAGTTTTGCCACTTGCTCATGTCTGAGAATACGCACTTCAAAAATTCCCGTTTTTTGGGGTCACCCTGTACTATATATAACGATATATATATATATATATATATATATATATATATATATATATATATATATATATATATATTGGCCTTGACTTGTATAAAAATACGTATGCTGTTGGTACAGTGAATGATTTTAAAACCCACATTCTGCACATAGTTAGCAAAAGGTTGCTGATCATTGCCCTAGATATCGTTTGAAACTGTAATTTTTAAAATTATAAAACTGCTCACTCGTTGGACTCCCATTAATAATAAGGACTTAAAAAAAGAACTTTTAAAAACAGTTTATTTCTATTAAAGTGATTTACATCTTATTGGATATATTACTATTGTTTTGGTGCATAATTATCAAGCGTTTATTTTTTGATAATAATTGCTGTTTTGTTTACTTTTTTTAATAAAAATATTTTATTTTCAGGTTATAAAGATGCATGTCGATAATCATACGCTCCGCAATAATCATTTAAAAAAATGTTATTCTTGAATTGTTATGTTTCCTTTTTCTTAATAAATATTGTTTAAAAACGCCTGATAATTATGCACCAACCCAATATATAAAATATATTGTAGAACAGGTATATTGACCTTGACTTGTATAAAAATACGTATGCTTGTTGCACACTGAATGATTTTAAAATACTAAGTCGGCACATAGCAAAAAGTTGCCGACCCTATGACTATCGTGTCTCTGGTCAAATATTTGAATTAACCCAATCTTTCTAAAAAAAATAATCGTGTAATGAAAGTCTTGTTGAACGGCCACGGTTCAAGATTCTTACGTAGTAATGCGGGGTTCGTACGGTACTTTATTCTTGGATAGACATTATTTCTCATATCCATCAACAGCCTTCCCGATGGCATCAGTTTCAAATTCGGTTTTTATGCCGATGAAACAACTTTTTACCCTTCGCTTAATAGTACGTCCGATACGTCTGATAAAATAAAACTCGCAGATACTGTTGAATCTAACCTCCAATCAATGGCTGGTAAATTTTAACAGACCCAAATTCGAAAATAATCTCTTTTAATCACTGTTGTCGGAGTTAACTCCTCCTTCAGTACATTAACCCTTTCACCAGGGGTCGCTCTTCGCTGCAATAAATAGCCGCGGACCTTTCGGCTCTATCTCTTTTCAGTCAGGCCTGTGCGCCGACACCTTGAGGTAAATCTCTCTTTTTCCTGAGGTTTTCAGCTATCAACCTCGAAATGTAGGCGCTAACAAGTGATAGCGTGGAAACACGCTAAGCACAATACACACGCACGCACATACAGAATATTCACACACGCACGCACATACAGAATATTCACACACACACGCACGCACATACAGAGTATACACACACGCACGCACATACAGAGTATTTACACACGCAAGCACATACAGAATATTCACATAAACTTCACCTTTTGTACTGTTTCCATGTATTGTAACTTGTTATTAATATATATTTGTATATACATATATTATCGGTCTTGTGTTTTGTTTGCTTCCTTTGCCTTCTTCTTTGGACTTAATCAAAGTCCAACCTTTTTATGTAGTTGGGCCCGGCGGGCAGGAGAATCTGAACCTTACATGCGTTTCTTCTACGTCTGACTTCACGACATCACAGCCACGGCCCTGTACACTGTAGAGAAGCATTTTTGCCTTTCATCGGTATGGCTGATGCTAACCTTCAACTCATTGCACCTTGGTATCACATTTTTCACAGACATAAAGTGAGGTTGGTGATAGTGAATCAATTACTAGGTCTGCTGCTAGGAAAATTATTTCACTGTATTGTATCTGACAGTTATGGTCACCAAACCCTACCTTTACAATTCTCCCACTCGTCCGTGCATTGAACATTACGTTAAATATTGCCTTGAACATTGCAACCAAATCTGATCTAGTGTTCCTAAAATATATCTAGAGATCCTCGATAAAAAACCCCAAAAATGGGGTCTGTAATTGTTGTGGAGTATTTTCATAGTGGGGGCTTGTATTTCTAATAAGTCGTCCTAAATTAGGTCCGACGTACAAAACGTTAGAAACTTGGAAAACAAGAGTCAATGGCGCAGCAATCTAGTTGTGATGGTTGGTACTTCAAATGTCTGAATCTCGACTGACGCGCTCAACACCATTCTGCCAGACTTGCCACTGCTACTCCTACTTATTATCTATGGGAGAGTCCATTACAATAGAATAGGTACCTAACAGTAATGTTATCAGTCCTGACGTAGCATCACGACATCAATCAATTTCCAACCTCTGTCACATGATCTCATTTCGGTTTTTCTTTTGTATAAATCTTTTCACGCTAATTGTTACAATGATTTCTCCTCCATGCTACCTCGACCGCATGAATTTAAGTGTAATATTAATTGGTTACTTTGTCTAATCGTTTTACTGCTGAACCGTAGATGTAACAGTAAGTTCTATTCTAATAGTTTCTTTTCTCGCACTTCTCGCTTGTGGAGCACTCTTTCTGTATCTTGTTCTCCTGCCACGGATGATCTTCAGAAAAATTAAATGAAAAGTCTATCAGCATCTTCTTTTTTTCACGAACCTTCTTCCCATTCTCTTACATTCTCTTGGCGTGTTAGTGGAATTATCTTAACTATTCTCTTTATTTAGATAGGTTCTTTCTTTCTCCCTCTCTTTTCCTCTCTCTCCCCCCCCCCTATCTTATTCTTTCTTACTTTATTTTCTTTTATTCGTTATTTCATTTTTATTTCTCTTTTCTTTCTTTCTTTCTTTCTTTCTTTCTTCCGTTTTTCTTTCTTTCTTCATTTTCTTTCTTCTTTATTTCTCTCTTCATTCTTTCCTTTTTCTTTCTTTTTTCTTGCTTTCTTTTTTCTTCCATTTTCTTTCTTTCTTTCTTTCTTTCTTTCTTTCTTTCTTTCTTCTTCCTACTTTCTTCTCTTTTCTCTCTTTCTTTCTTCCGTTTTTCTTTCTCTCTTCATTCTTTCCCTTTTCTTGCTTTTCTCTTTCTTTCTTTTTTCTTCCATTTTCCTTCTTTCTTTTCTTTCTTTCTTTCTTTCTTTCTTTTTTCTTTCTTTCTTTCTTTCTACTTTCTTGTCTTTTCTATCTTTCTTTCTTTTAACGATTGTCATACTTAATTACTTTGGATTTTTCTTTTGCTTGCTCCAAAAGTTAAAGAAATTATTACTTTTATTTTTAGTTATTTTTTTATCCTTTTTTTTTCTTTTGTTTCGTTTCTTTCGTTTCGTTTTTTATTTGCATTTATATTTGCCCGTTTTCATTCATTGCATCTTTCTTTCTTTTCCAATTTCCTTCTCTTTATCTTTTTTTATTTCATATATTTCCTTTTTATTCTTGTTCGTTATTTTCATATTCCACAACTACATTTTAGTTCTACTTTTACTTTCGTTTTCATCTGCTCACATTTTCATTTTATTTTCACTTTTACGAGCACTCATCATTTTCTTGAACTTGCTTTCTTAACTTTTTATTTGTCTTTATTTTTTGAGTACATTCGTTTTCTTCATGTGCTCTATCGCAGTTGCTATAGCCGTCAAAATTCTTTGCATTACTCAATTCTTTTTGTCGCTGTCTTACTTGTTTTACTCATTATGATCGACATAGTTATTAAAATCCTCCTTATCTTGGCTGAAGTTTTTTATTAACATAACCAAGTGCAAATTCTTATCTTGTGTTTTCCTCGTCTTATTTTCCTGCCTTTATTATTATTATTATTATTATTATTAGGAGCAGTAGTAGTAGTAGTAATTGCTGTTGTCTTTATTGTAACGGTTTTGTGAGCTTGTTGATTTTTCCTACGAATAGGAACATTACGCTTCTATTTGAGATAAGTGGCATCCAGTTTGCGCGGCACTCAAAGATTCGTTGAAGTATTTTTTGGTTTAGTAATGGTAACATCTTCATTTTCAGTTCAATTTTCTCATTTTCCTTCATATTTTATGAAAGATAGGAGGAAGGACGAGAAAAAAGAGAATGAAAGACAGAAGGAAAGAAGACGAGAAGAGAAGAAAACAGATAAAAGGAAATACGAGAAAAAGGGAATGAAAATTAGTAGGAAGGAAGAAGAGAAGTGAAGATAGAAGGAAGGACGAAGAAAAGAGTAAGAAAGATAGGAGGAAGAAAGAAGAGAAGACGTGGAAAGGAGAAGGAAAATAGGACGAAGAGAAGATAGAAGGAAGGAAGAGAAAAAGAGAATGAAAGAAGGAAGGAGGAGAAAAAGAGAATGAAAGAAGGAAGGACTAAGAAAAGAGAGAATAGAAGGAAGGACGAGGAAAAGAGAAGGAAAAATAGAATGAAGGAAAAAGAGAAGAGAAGATTGAAGGAAGGAGGAGAAAAAGAGAATGAAAGACAGAAAAATGGACGAAGAGAAGAATAGAAAAGATAGGTAGGATGAGAATAAGAAAAGGGAAAATAGAAGCAAGGACGAAGACGAGGAGAAAAGATAGAAGGAAGAACGAAGGAAAGAAAAATAGAAAAAAAGAACGCGAGAAAAGCGAATGAAAACTAGAAGAACGAGAAAAAGAGAATGAAAGGAAAAGAGAAGGAAAGATAAAAAGCAGGACGAAGACAAGAGAAGAAAATATAGGTCTGATATATACAGTGAAGTGTTCATATTTTTATGACAATAATTATTGCTTTAGATATATGTTGTACTTTTTATTGACAACACTCACTTCAACTTCTTTGCTTTATTTTCGCCTATTTTTCTTTTTTCTTTTCTTTCACTTCTGTTTTTCGTTTCTAATCCTTCACTACTTCATTCCTTTTCCCTTCTTCCTTTCTGTGTTGATTTGAGAGATGACCCCAACACGAACGGAAAGAGTAGATCCCAAAAGAGGCTTAAGATTTCCACGCACGGTTAAATTTAGAACCATTTTTTATGGTACAGAGCAGTTATGTGGTTTTGTGAGGCAAAATAATTTAATGTGGTTTCAGAATACGCGACCAAGCCGCCCAATGGGCAATTTGTTTTGCTTTCATAGATATATTTTCCTGTAGGCTGAAAGGAAGAATACATTTGTTCAATAAATCAAGGAATGTTAAAGTGACATACCTGACTGACCGGCACAATAGTTTCGTGTGGAAACATTCATCGGTCTCAGATTCTTGATAAATATTTCGTCGTTCAACCAGATAAGACACTTCTAATAACCTATTGAGTATTTTTGTTAGAACAATATTAGCCTGAAAAATATGGAATTTTCTCGTAATTTTAACGTATTCCTTTGCTTTCATCATATATATATATATATATATATATATATATATATATAAAAATATATATATATTAAAAAAGAAGAGGGTGCCGCAAACGTTTTTGGTTGTAATGTGGATTTATTGAGAAAAAATATTATACTTTGTTTTACATAATTTCACGACACGTGTTTCTGGTCTGGTCTCGCAACCGTCTTCAGGTGAAAGTGGAGATTTTACATATTATTAAAAATAATTAATTTTTTCTTCATGTTCAATGTGGAATATTCTCGATATGAGACATTCTGTTTGTGTGTTGGCAATCCGAATTTTCTTTCTAGAATTGTCAATGAAGAGTTCTGCGTGAAGGGTCAAAAAAACAATTAAGGTTTGTCCAGCGAGTAGTTATCGGCATTTAATCTTTTAATGTTTTAGTGACCTCTATGTGCTCTTGGATCTGTTTCTATTTTATGTGTTCCTGTCAGCATGCGTGTATATATGCGTGCGTATATTTCCTTACTACGAGGAATTCGTAAACTTATTTGTACTTATACACGCATACACACACATACGCACATACACACTATCCCACCACAAGTAGTCAGTACACACACATATGCACACATATTTCCCAAGCTACATGGAACCAGTACACACACACACACACACATACATATACACACACACACACACACACGTACTTCTTAAGTTGTCAACATCCGCATATACATACATAAATGTATGTATGTGTACATACACATATATATATATCTCCTCGTGTCTCCTGTATATGAGTGTGCGTCCATGTATGTGAGCGATCATTGTATTTGGTCACCCTGTGTGCATGTTTTTTTTTTTTTTTGTGGGGGGGGGTTACGATCTATTCAGTTCGGGTTTGAATTTTTCTATAAAGTTTTTTTCCTGTATTTGTAGATACGAGTAATTGTCTGTTTGATATATCGGCATGATATTAAACTTACCCTGGTTACATTTGAAAATGTGTTGTGATACAAAAAGTTTTCTGTTGTCTGTCAATTTTATATTGCTTTTGTGTAGGGAGACCCTGTTGTTCAGTTGTTGGCTGATGCCTATATATGACTTCTTACATTTTGTGCATTTAAGTGCATAAACTACATTTTTGGAGTTGCAGTTTAAGTTTTTGTTTATTGTGAATGTTTTTTTGGGGTTTTCAAAAGTGTAGGAGTTTCCTTCTATAATGATGTCACAAACTCCACATCTTTTTTTGTTGCATTTTGTGACTCCCTGTATTTTGTGTTGACTAAATTTAGATGAGGTTAATATGTGTTTTAGGTTTCTAGATTGGCGTTTGCTCTTAATTATTTTTGGTTGTTTTTAGTATATTATTCAGTTTATTATTCTTGCTAAGTAAATCTAGATTTTTTGTGATTTCTGGGAATATTTCTGGGTTGTTTTTTTGTTGTACGTTGAGACATATGCTAGAGCACCCTCTTCTTTTTAATATACATACTTTTCTCTCGTTGGAACCACTACAACATATTTCTTTTATATATATATATATATATATATATATATATATATATATATATATATATATATAATGGAAGCACTTACCATCCATATCTAAAGATAACATAAGTTAAGTTAAGCGTTTGTCTAGCCCACACCAAGTGGGGTTAAGGATAAAGAATTGAAATGATACATCTAACTCACTCATATCTTCTCTCCCCCCTCACTTCCTCATGTCGTCTTCCCTCCCCACCTCACTTCGTTAATTTACATATGCTTAATACGACCCGTCAAAAATGTGTAAATTTCTTTTCATTTTTCATTTCAACTTTTGGAAGTAAAGTCTGATGATCCAGAGCCCTTTAAAAGGGCTGTGGTGAAATAATTCATTACATGGAATCTTAAAGTGGTCTATTTTTTATTCAAACATATATATATATATATATATATATATATATATATATATATATATATGTATATGACGTCACACATTATGAAATGGACAAAGTCCGACAATTATTTTTAAGATATTTTTATGTTTATACATTCTTTTTATAGATACAAAGATTTAAGTAAATGCTCTGTTTATAATAAACAGTATTAAACAACATTTACCGGCCTGAATGTCCGAGAAATTTTCACAGGTTCGAATCCTGTCGGAGAAGGAATATTTTCTATGAAAATTTCTCGACATTCAAAATGTTCTTTAATACTGTTTATTATTAATAGAGCATTTACTTAAATATTTCTATCTATAAAAAGTATGTATATACATAAAAATGTCTTATATATATATATATATATATATATATATATATATATATATATATATATATATTTAAAATAGGTTTGAAACGGTACAAAAAAGCGTATTAAGGCATTAAAAACTAGAAATGTTGTATTGCAGGCCATGATAAATTTAAAATAAAACACACACCAGTCGACCGGTTTCGTCCCCTCTCGTCAGAACTGTTAACGGGGAATTTAGATTATGAGGAAAAGAAAAAAGAAAAAAAAAAAGAAAATAAGTCTGTCATGGGTGACATGAATGAATGGACAGGGAAGGAAGGAAAAAAAAATTATACCAACCAAGCTGCTAGAAGCGCAGAACAGCAAGTCCAAGCAAACAATCTCTTTGTTTGCAAAGAGAAGGCTGCCTGGATCTGATGTAAAGCGACTCCAACACCTTAAGATGGAAAAGTGAGTGCGAACTGGCCAAGACGGAAAACCAGTTCACACTGAAATCCATCGCACAAGTTGGATTCTTTATAAAATGATCCGCAATCGAAGACCCATACGTGTTACGAATGGTATCGCCCAAAGAAAATTTTTTGTTTAGTATTATCGCAGGTACGTGTTGTTTAATTCTAACGTCCAACCGCTGTGTCGTTCTACCTATGTAGTCGCATCCAAAACTACATTTGAAATAGTAAATAACAGAGTTAATATGGTGGCGGGGCGTAGAATAGCTGTTTCTTTTATTTTCATTTCCCAAGTAATTAGATCTTCTTCCAAGATCATCTTCAGGGGTGGAAGTAGTACAAAACAAAAGTTGTGCGTTGTTATCCATGATACATATTTGAACAATGAACAACATATAGTTTTGTACTACTTGCACCCTGAAGATGATCTCAAAGAAGCTCAAAAAGTTTTGGGAAATGAAAATAAAAAAATTTAAACAACCATAGCACAAATGTCTGTTTATTTATATATATATATATATATATATATATATATATATATTATATATATTTCATTCATCACAAAAAAAGATTAGTAAAGTTAATGATATAAATGGCGAAAAAAATATTCGCAAATAAATTACATTAACCCACGAATCACTCGATGAATGTTATGATCCTTGTTTTTAATAACTTCAAGTTGAATAAAGTCTTTTCTTATTCTGCTAGTACTTTCGGTTATACGTTTAGCCATCCTCAGGCATGGAAATTGTTTTTTTAATATATCCAGCGGACACAAAAAATTAAATGTTCATAGAAAATATTCGTCTTCCGAAGGAATCGAACCTGTATCCTATACGGAACCGAAAAATGAAAATTTCTCGGACATTCAGGCCGGTAAATGTTGTTTAATACTGTTTATTATGAACAGAGCATTTACTGAAAATATTTGTATCTATATAAAAATGTATAAGCATAAAAGTGTCTTAAAATAATTGTCGGACTTTGTCCATTTCGTAATGTGTGACGTCATTTGTTTACATTTGAATACGCCATGAGCAGATATGAATATACGTGAGAGAATCATGGAAGGTTGTAGTTTAAAGGAGGTGAATTCGACCTTGCTAAGCGAACGCTCCTCTGTAGCCAAATCGGTAAAAGCACATCAAGCTACATGACGGTTCCGTATAGGATAGAGGTTCGAATCCTGTCTGAGGACGAATATTTTCTATGAAAATTTCTCGGACATTCAGGCAGTTAAATGTTGTTTAATACTGTTTATTATAAACAGAGCATTTACTTAAATATGTGTATAAACATAAAACTGTCTTAAGATATATATACATATTTTTTTTTATTTGCTAAAAGTAGATATTGTCCTATATTGTTGTCCCTGATAGGCCTACTCGAGGATGTCTTGAAGGTAAATGTATTGGTTCGAGTCGAATGTCTTTGAATATTCGGCCAAATATAGATTCTCACTATATTTGTAATAATTATAAAGATCTTGTTCGTGTTGCAAAATCTGCGATTTTTTTGTTTGTTTTGCTTGAATTGTTGTTGGGAATTAATAGAGAAATTGTTATTGGTGTTTAAAAAAATCAGGTTGCATTTCATCAAAAATAGTTACATTTATTTCTATATCACTCTGCCCGCTATTAAGCCGATCAATAGGCAATTTTCTTATCAAAAAGAAAGATTTTTTGCTTTTATTTCAACAATTACAATCATTATTGCTATTTTGAGAATG